GAAATAGGGTTTTTACAGAGGCAATCAAGTTACAGTGAAGTCATTAGGGTGGGTTCTAATCCAGTATGACTGGTGTCCTCATAAAAAGAGGAAATTTGAACACAGAGACACACGCACACAGGGAGAACATCATGTGACGATGAAGATAGAGATCAAGGTGATACAGGAGAAGCCAAAGAATGCCAAAGATTTTCAGTAAGGCCCCAGAAGCTAGGAGCACCGAGGCATGGGACAGATTCTCCCACAAGGCTCTCAGAAGGAAACTTACTCAAATCTCTAGCCTCCAGAACCATGAGACAATACATTTCCATTGTTTAAGCCATTCAGTTTGTGGTACTTTGTTACAGCAGCCTTACCAAACTAATACATTTTCTGTTGCCAGGAATTGTAAGGAGATGATTATTTTAAAATCATCTTAGACATAAACAGTTATCACAAAATTCTGCCATCAGAGGTTTGCAGTTCACCTGTATGCCACCAAGTTTGCATCTTGGAAACAGTTCCCAAGGTTATGCTACAGTTCATCTCATTTAGGTGGGTTAGTAAGATGACAGTAAAGAGTAGCTGATGATATCTAAGGAAGGATAGTTATCTTCTGCACGTTCAGGATGACTTCACTAATCCATCGTTTCAAAATCTTTTTTCCCCCAAATCTTTTTATTATAGAAAATTTCTAAGAGAAGTATAATGAGCTTATGTCACTGTCACTTAGGTTTGATATGACTCACACATGGTCAATTTTGATTCCTCCACTCAAATCCTCCACATCAAATAATTTTGAAGAAAATCTCAAATTTTCTATCATTTTAAACAGCTTTTTTGAGATCTAATTGCCAGGCCATATAGTTCGCTTATTCGGTGTACGATTCAATGGTTTTTAGTATATTGACAGAATTGCACAACCATCACCATAATCTAATTTTCGAACATTTTCATCATCCCAAAGGAACCCTCTGCTCATTAGCTGTCATTTTCTATTCCTCCCTCAACCTCCCCATTTTATATTTTACCCGTAAATATTTCACAGGCACTGCTACAAAGATAGGAACTATTTTAAAAATACATAACAATATCATTAGTGAACATAGAAAATTTTGAATAATAATTATTTAACATCAAAGATAAAATCTGTGGTCACATTTTCTTGATTATTCTATACACGTTTTTCACTTTGCTTAAGTCAGAAGCCAAAAAAATCCTCACACTGCACACTGCAATTGCTTGATGTATCTGTTCGTTTTCTTTTAACCTAAAGGTCAACCGTCTAACTCTCTCTTTCTCTTTCTTCTTACAAATTTTTGTTGAAGAAACCAGGTTATTTGTTCTATAAACTTTACTAGGGCCTGGAATTTTCAGACTGTATCCTTGTGTCATTGTTTACCATGTTCCACGGTCCCATGTGTTTCCTATAAATTGGTAGTTGAATTTTAATGGGGTCTTAATCAGATTCAAATGTTTTTTGTTTGGATAAGACTTCTTCATAGGTAGAAGTGTGCTGTCAAACTGCCTTTTAAATATTCTTTTACTGTGAAATACATCATACTTACAGCAGTGTATAAAAATAATTATATATTTTAGAGAAGAATAATAAAATGAACAGGCACCCATCACAAAGGTTAAATAGCAATAGAGTACTGCTATGAATAGACTCTAGTTTATCCTTTTGATAGTGGACATTGTCCCCAGATTGTCCCCAGTCTTTTGATGTTACAGACGATAACGCTACGAACATTCTTGCTCATGGTTCCCGGTGCTCGTGTGCAGAGTTTCTCTAAAGTGTATGTGTGTCCAGGGCTGAAACTGCTGGTGTAAGGTGTGCAGATGTTCAACTCCAGTAAGTGATGGCAAATTATTGCCTAAAGTGTTTATACCAATTTAGACTCCCACTAGCAGTGGACGAGAGTTACCCATGGATTCGAATTCTTGCTAATGCTTGGTATTGTCAGATTTTGCCAATTGGTGGGTTCAAATTCTCTATTAATAAAAGATGTGTAAAATTGTACTATATATTTGATATTTCAACTGAATTCGCAGGAATCCTATTAAAATATTCCTTCTGCTTGTCCCTTATTTTCAGGAAAACAACGCTTTGTATTTTAAAAGTGACATTAAGGCATTTCACCTATAGATTGTCATTGGAAATATGTAACAATTTTTGAAGGGGGAGAGAGAGATTTGTGTAATTTAAGGGCTGGAGAGATATTCATGAGATGAAAGACTACTTACTCATAGCTATGCAGCAGCTAAGCATTATGGTGGTAAGAATCTATAGATAACATAGATCCTTTGTAGGGCCAATGCAAGACCCTCCATTCAACCCAGAAACAAACTTACTCTTCTTTCTTCCGTTTCTTCTTTCATCTCATTCCTCCTGGTTGCTTCTTGCCACGAGCTCTGGAACCAAAATTTTACACGAGGGTGTGCATAACTAGACAAACAATCTAGGGCTCCAGATAATGTAGGGCTACCTTCCTTAGAGTGTTGCTGTGACAAACAAATTAGGTATCATATTAGATATGGCTCTTGGCACACTTCCAGGAATGATGGGCATCACCTCACCGTCTAAATGTTAGCCTAGGGGGAGGAGGGGTGGGGGAGGGATGGGTTGGGAGTTTGGGATTAGTAGATGCAAACTACTACATATAGAATGGAAAAACAACAAGGTCCTACTGTATAGCACAGGGAACTATATTCACTATCTTGTGATAAGCCATAATGGAAGAGAATATGAAAAAAGAATGTATATATATATGTATAACTGAGTCACTTTGCTGTACAGTAGAAATTAACACAACATTACAAATCAACTATACTTCAATAAAATAAATTTTAAAAAATAAAATAAATAAAATTTAAAACAATGTTAGCCTATACCTCATACTCCAAAATGTTTCAGTCCATAAAATTTTCTCTTTCTAGAATTATTTTTCTCCACCAATTTCCAGGGAAAATCAAGAGTACATAGAAACCATTCTTATTTCTCCCCTTTTACTACCTCTCCTCACAGCTTTCTGCCTTATGTCTAAGATTCTTTGAAAACGCAGCAATAAATTTTGAATTGATTTTGTGTCCTTGAACAGTGCTCCACCCAAGCTGATATGTTTCAAACTTGTAATCATTAGTTTCTTTGAAAGCAGTAATCAAGCTGTAAATAAAAGGTAATGCCTTAGATCTTAGCAATTGGAAGGCCTGCTAGCCCACTTTTCTTCCCATCACCAGCCTGCCTCACTGCTTTTATGTGTTCATGTCTCACTGAACTCAACGTTTCTTTCTCTAGCTCTGTCTAACCTAAGGTAGGTGCTTAAAAAAAAATTTTTTTTTTTACTTTTCATTGTGGTAAAAATGCACGTAACATAAAATTTACCATCTTAACCATTTTTAAGTGTACAGTTGTGTTAAATACATGCACATTGTTGTGCAGCCGATCTCCAGGACTCTCTTCATCTTGCAAAACTGAAACCCTGTCCCCACCAAACAACAACTCTCCATTCCCCCTCTCCCCGGACCCCAGTCCCAACCCAACAGCTCTTTCCGTCTCTACAAATTTGACTACTCTAGGTGACTTATATGGGTAGAATCACAGCGTTTGTGTTTTTGTGGCTGGTTTATTGCACTTAACATGTCCTCAAGGTTCATCCATGTTGTAGCATGTGCAGAATTTCCTTCCTGTTTAAGGCTGAATAACAGTCCAATCGTATGTATATACCATATTTGTTTATCTATTCACCTGATTTTGTTTATCCATTCATCTGTGGATGGACATCTGGGTTGCTTCCACCTTTTGGCTATTGTGAAAACTGTTGGTATGAATATGGGTGTACAGATATCGTTTCATTAACCTGTTTTCAATTCTTTTGGGTATATACCCAGAAGTGCAATTGCTGGATCATATGGTAATTCTATTTTTAATTTTTGGAGAAATTGTCACATTGTTTTCCATAGTGGCTACACCACTTTTAAAGTTTCTGTTATGCTCTAGGGGAGAAAATTATCCTACTCTAGACTACAGCTGAGGAAAAGGATTGTACGGCCGAGAACGTGCAGTCAATTACCTCGCTTGATTAGAACATGATTAAAATAATTAAAAGCATGGAATTCCTAGAACCTGGAGACACATTATAAACCATGTGGTCTACTGCACTCACTTACAGGTGAGTAAACTGGGACTCTGAGAGAACAAGTGCTTGGGAAGGTCAAGGGCTGGTTAAGGGAAGAATCAGAGCCGGCATCCATGGCTTTCCAATCTTCAAATTATTGCCATGAAAATAATTTCAACTTGAAATATTATGTGATGAAGAACAAGAATTACGGGATGGTTAATTCAAAACATCCCCTGGGATGCACTGTGTGTTCTGCTTTTGTTTCTATGGCTGGTTTTTAGCCTCCGTGATTGCCTTGGTTGACATTGAAACCGAGCCTGTTTTTCTCGCTGCCGCTGTGGGCAGCGTCCTGGGCATCCTAGGAGATGGAGGGGGAGACAAAGAAAATCGGTCCGCAGTTAGGATCCACCGGGCGTGGACCCCGACCCTCTGCTCGCCTGCGCGCTAGCCAGAGGCGTCCGCGTGTGGCGCGGATGTAGCTCCCATCCTGCGGCCTCAAAGGCCCCCGCGCGCGAGTGGCTGGCTCCCTGAAGAGTCCCCACGCTCCGGGACCCGAACCAGAGGGTTCCGGGACGCCCGGGGGTCAGGCAGCTCTGGCCGTGCCTCCTCCCCAGCCGGAGCCGCGGAGCTCCTGCGACTTCCCTGGCGGAACCGCGCCCAGTCTCCCCCGCCACAGTCGGGGGGCCCCGGGCGCCGCGGAGCTCGGGCTGCGGACCACGGTGGGCACGTGGGCTCGGCCGCAGCGCTGCGCCAGGCACCGGCGCCCCGGCACAGCCCCTGCCGGTGGGGAGAGGGATCCTCCCCCCCGTCTACTTTGCACCAGTCCGAGGGAATTTGCGGTCGGTGACGCGCATCCTTAAGCGAGCCACCTGCAGCGCGGGGCGCGCCGCTGAGGGCGGCATCGCAGGGCTGCGCCGGCGCGGCCTGGGGACCCCGGGCTCGGGAGGCCATGCCGGCGTTGGCGCGCCTCGGCGGCCGGCTGCCGCTGCTCGGTAAGGCCCCGCTCGCCCGCTCGAGCCCCCGCGGCCCCCGGCCCCCACCCCGCGCGGGGACCGGGCGCGCGCCTCCTCCGTCCCCGCCGCCGCGCGCCTCCCCGCCCCGCTCCTTCCCTCGCTCCCGCGCCCCTCCCCTCTTTCGCGCCCTCCAGGCTCGCCCAGAACCCGCCCGCGGCCCCGGCCTGGCCCACCCCGCGTCCTCCTCCCCCTCCTCTCGCGTCGCCGCTCCGACTCGGGCCGCGGTACCCACCGGCGGCCGCGACCCCGCAGGCGGCCTCGCCGAAACGCTGCCCGGGGCTGCGGCCGCCCCGCCCGCCTCTCTGGCTGCCCGCTCGGCCCGCGCGCCCGGGTAGTGGGCCGGCAGCCCGAGTCTGCGGCCCCGAGCTGGGCGCCGGGGTCCGGGACCTCGCCTGCACCGACCCCGGCTACCGTAGACTCCTGGGTGGCGTCTTTAACTCTTCTTTTGAGGTTTTGATTTAGGGAGTGAACTCTGATGGGAAGATGCGCCCGCGTTCTCCCCCAAAGCGAGTCATCTCGGGTAACGACCCCCTACCCGCCGAATGTCGGTTGGATCAATGAATAGTTACTTTGGAAATATTATGCAAACGGGGTTTACATCTTAAAATACTAGCTACCCCCTCCTCCTATACTCGATTTTTATCCCGGCATTAAACCCCAAGGGGCTTTTCAAGGACTCAGCTGACTGTTCCCAAATATTCTGGGTAGCACAGTTGTTACTGGAAAAAAAAAAAAAAAAAAAAACACCCTTTAGATCCAGTTCATCTATTTGGAAAGAACGAGAGGGTTGACTTGCGTTTAGGGTGAAGGAGACAGAGTCTTGGGAGCCAGGGAGGCTCTAGGTCCCGGTCCTAGTTCTGCAGCCTTGGGGGACCAGCCCTCACTGTCCCCGGCCCCGGCATTGTGCTCTGTCCAGTGAAGGAGTCTGGCTGGGACTCCTCCAGCCCCAAAATTCTCGCAGTCTTTCTTGAATCCTCTGTGGTTCATAAAATATTTGCAGTATGGACGTGCAGGAATTATTTCCAATAGATTTTGTTTCAAATAATTCAGAATTATAGATTTAAAAAATGTAACAGAAGGGGGAAAAGAGTGGAAAAACATCTTGCATTTCCTAAACATCTTTGTTAATTGGGAAATATGTACATTTCAAATGTATGGTACAATATGTTTTTCAGAGTCTGTTACAAAAAGTTAGCTTTCTGTTATGTATAACATTAGTAGTAAGTGGATTTTTCAGCAGCATACAAAGGCTTTCGGAAAGTATAAACATCAGTACATGAAACTATAGTTAAGCTGCATTGAATTCTTTTATATTTAGGGACAATCTCAGAAATTCCTACATCTCTCTCCAGATTATTCTAAATTAGGTATAATTCACATAGAGCAAATATGCACACATCTTAATAGTACAACTCCATTAGTGTTTGTGTAACCGCGTAATCATCCGATCAAGACACAGAGCACTTCTAACTCCGCCCCCTCTCAGATTATACCCCCCAAAGGTAGCCACTATTCTGACTTCTGATACCATGGTTTTGCCTGTTTTTTGAACTTCGTGTAAACCAAATCATTGTTTTTTTTAATGTCCAGCTTTTTTCACTCAACGTTGTGATTATGAGATCCAACCTTGTTCTTAGCAGTGTTGTTGTTTTTCCCATTGCTAGGTGCTATTCCTTAGTATGAATAGATTATACAATTTAATTATCCATTGTTGTTGAAGAACATTTTGACTGTCTCCAATTTTGTGTAATGAAACGTAACACAGCTGTGAATATTCTTTTACATGTTTTGGGGGGACAGAAACACCCATTTCTCTTTGATACCCTCAGGTCTAATTCCTAGATTATAAGGGAAGGCGTATGTCAGTTTTGGTAGGTACTGTCAAACAGTTTTCCAAAGTGGTTTTACCAATTTACATTCCCACTAGCAGTGTATGGGAGCTCCGGTTCTTCACATCTTTGCCAATCCTTGCTGTTACAGATTTTCTTGAACGAAGAAGCACAAAGTGAGAAGCTTAAAAGTGAGGACTTTAAATGTTTAAAAGCTTTACATTCCTTGAATTTTTGAACGCCATCCCCATTTCCCTTATATTGTAAGCTCTACCTTTCATAAATAATGATGAGGTTTTCTAAGTAGTATTTAAAGAATGGACACATGCTCTCCATGGCCTTAGCTGCATTCTGTGCTGATCGTGGCTAGGAGGAGGATTTCAGTATTTCAGTAACTGACAACTCTTTCTCTCATTAGTGTCAGAAAATTCCATTCAGAGCTTTGACCTACACATTTTAGTTGGCATCCTTTGCCCTTGCTGCTTGTCTTACTATTTGCCTTCTTGTGAGCTGGTAGCCTACAGGGGACCGATTCAGGAGGAGGGGGAGGGAAGGGATGCTATGCAAAGATTGGTTTGAATTGGATGGGACACCGGACTTGGTGACCTGGTGTTAAGGTCCCCTTGGATCCTAAAAGTCTTGGTTCTAATTGTTACCATCATACAAATTTAGATTTGGCCATTCATTTCTTCTTGGGTACTTCACGTGGATCTGTAGTAAATTATCCTCTTAGGTTTAATTATGAACTACTTGGCTCTACTTTTTATAACTAAAAAGACACTTTCATTAATTCTCAGTTATCAGTAAAGATTTTGTTGGTGGTGTTATTGACGTCTCCTGTTGTTTGACTGAAAAAAGTCAGGTAATGACGAGATATTAATTGTGGGGGAGGAAGACTTACTTATATTCCAGGGAAGACTTAAGAAAGAAGAAGAGGAAGCCTGCATGAGAAAGAATTTTTTTATTTGACCAACTTTTATTGAATACCTATTTCAGTGCTAGGCGCATGGGGGTACAAAGATGAAAGAGATGGGGAGGGGAGAACTTACATATAAATAGTTAATTCCGTTCTATTTTAAACATGCGTGGTCATCGCCTTTCCCCAAGAACACATTTCAGCACAGAGCTTGCTTTCAGTGAGTTAAACCTTCCAACACGTTTATCGTGATCGCTAAATATCTGTGGATGGAAAACAGCATGCTTCAGCGAAGGAAGCTTTGACCAGGTCACAATAGGAATCCCAGGGCTGTCGTCCCCTAAAACTACTTAAACATGGATGTACTGTGTTCAACGGTTGTGGGAAAGCAACGGCTCTTCCATTTAAAATAAAACAAATGGGTTGTTCCAGGGTGCAACATGGCCCCCCCTTTTTTTTTTTTAGATCCTAGGAAGAAGTAATTTTCCAAATGGTTCTTGGAACAAATTTGTGGACTGCATTTTACTCCCCAGGGAGTATCCCTGCTCAGCTGAGAAGTCCACGGGAGAGCTCAGCTTCATGACTTTCTCCACAATTCTTTTTATTCCCCTCAGCTGGTCATTCGCTAATGAAACTCACAAAGCAATGTGACAAGAGCCCTTACCAGTCAGTGTTCAAGATTGCTATCTTGCTGGATCCCCAAGTAGCCACCAGATATTGCCTTAATCTTTGGGTCAAGATTCTGATTTGGGCAAAAAAGCAAATAATCTCAAAAGTATGGTATCTTATCATTTTTCTTGATTTTGAAAGGGATCTTGGAGAGGACAGGAATAAGAATTTGCAGAGGGGAAATTGAGGGGCTGAAAATTCGCTTGGCCTGCTTTGTAATTTGCTGAGCTTGGTCTCGCCACTATGCTCCCTCCTTTATTCACTCTGAAATAGCAAAGTCTTGTGAATCTCACAGGAGATGGTTTGCCTGAATAGAGCTTTTGGTTTTCATCAGATGACTTTGTGATCTTAGTATTTTTCCATCAAGATTGCTAAAAAAGCCTTAGCTACTTCTTAGTTAGGTAGCCATGGTTGTGTGGCCAAAGGTTTTTCTGTCTTTTGGGGGTCTGTGAGCTTTACACATAAGTGATTGAATTACCCCTGTGGCTGGAACTCTTTGTAGAACTCTGATGGTCGTTAGTTGGAATCACGCAATTCTGTTCGATGGGTCCCAACACATGGAGAGGAAAGTTAAAAATAATATAAAGTACACACACAGTGTTCTTTTGTGGCTAGAGGAATTGCATAAGATCCTAAAAGAGGAACTATTGTTATTTTTTAGGTTAAACAGTAAAAATATTTTTTCACTGCTGTCATTGTAAGTCAATTGGTAGCCAAGAAACCTCCATAAAATTATTTACAGTCTACTTTAAAACAGGCTATTGTCATCATTTCTTTAAACCATTGTGTTTTGATTTGAAGATATCCACGGAATTCAGTCTTCAACTGCTTTGCTATTTGAGTTACGATGTTCCCAATGTGAGGGATTCAGTTCTTGGAAGTGATGCAGATGAATGTGTCAGGACTAGCTACACAGTTAGGAAACATGAATTCTTTATTCTGACAGGGAATGCCTCTACACTTAAGTTCCTCATCTGAGAAAAGGAGATAAGCAGTGTCTGACTCCTTCATCAGATAATACCTGTAAAGTGCAGCTGCTTCCCTGGTTAGGCAGGTGCTTTGCAGAAGAAAGCGTCAGGATTTAGAGTCACGGGATTTTCCTCCTTGCCTTCTTAGACCCTTGGGAGCACCGTGTAGTCCAGTAGGTGCCAGACAGTCCTGGTTCCTGCTCGGTCTAATGTTAGGGGCGTTGGTGGGAAAGGGTAGGCATGTAAAAGGAAAAGGCATGTAAAAGGAAAATCGCAGAGTAATTTTAGAAATAAGCACCGAGGCTGAGCCTCTAATGCAGACTGAGAAAATAAGGCAAGACCTCCAACAGGAGGTGATGCCAGACCCTTGATTAGAAAGGTAAGACTTGATAGGGAAAGGGGAGGATCAGGACATTCCAGGCAAATAGGACAGTGAGGAAAATGGTACAGAGGTGAGAAACACAGGGTAGACGGAAACTGTAATTCCATCCTGGTTACTGAGGCACAATGTCTGAGGATAGGGGAACCCTCATTTAAAAAGTTGTGAGGGTCTTCCCTGGTGGCGCAGTGGTTGAGAATCTGCCTGCCAATGCAGGG